TAGTCATGTGCTGATAAATGTTCTTAGTTTTAAGAAGTTGCTATTTTTTCCTACACTGTCCCCACTGTGCAAACTTCGTCTGTCCGTCATTGTAGTTGTCATTAGCGCAGTGCGAGTATGTACCACTGCCAGTACAAATTTCCATTACCATTATTGAAATAACCATAATTCTAAATACAACTCACATGGTTCGAAACATGGTGTTAAGGTGTGTTTTATTTCAGAAAACGACACACCGAGAAAAAAAAGGCCTTTAGACAACACCAGTAAATTTTCACTATTCGCACTTGCACACACATTTATGCAACACACTCTCGTCGGTCGGTCGGTCGTTCGTTCGATTGGAGTAAGTGTTCAAATGTATGTTTGCAAATGAATAATAAATAATTCTGCTGAAAGTGCAGAAATTACATACAACTATACATATGTACATAGTTTTTTGTTTTATTTTAATATTCAGTTAGTGTTTATTTTAAGTTTATTGTTATTGCTGTTGCAGCTAAAGTTGTCGTTTTTGCTGCCTTTGTTCTGCCATCTGATCTTTAAGGCGATTGTGTTTATACAAACACCATTTCGTTGTGTTTTATTTTGCGAAGAGAACGAAAAGGTAAATAAATATTCGCACTGTCAATGTTAAAAACAAATAATACTGAAAATGTCAACGTTAGGAGAAAAGGGGTTCCGGAATAATATTCTGGAAGAAATGGGGAAAAGAAAGTTGATGGGTGTAATCTATAGTCAAGTCTATAGTATAGTTTATAGTCCAGTCTACAGTCTGTATTCAAATCTATAGTCTAGTCTATAGTCTAGTCTATAGCCTAGTCTATAGTCTAGCCTATAGTCTAATCTATCGTCTAGTCTATAGCCTAGTCTATAGTCTAGTCTATAGTCTAATCTATCGTCTAGTCTATAGTCTAGTCTATAGTCTAGTCTATAGTCTAATCTATAGTCTAATCTATAGTCTAGTCTATAGTCTAGTCTATAGTCTAGTATATAGTCTAGTCTATAGTGTAGTCTAGTCTAGTCTATAGTAGTCTATAGTCTAGTCTATAGTCTAGTCTATAGTCTAGTCTATAGTCTAGTCTATAGTCTAGTCTATAGTCTAGTCTATAGTCTAGTCTATAGTCTAGTCTATAGTCTAGTCTAGTCTGCTATAGTCTAGTCTATAGTCTAGTCTATAGTCTAGTCTATAGTCTAGTCTATAGTGCTAGTCTATAGTGCTAGTCTATAGTCTAGTCTATAGTGTAGTCTATAGTCTAGTCTAGTCTAGTCTATAGTCTAGTCTATAGTGTAGTCTATAGTCTAGTCTATAGTCTAGTCTATAGTCTAGTCTATAGTCTAGTCTATAGTCTAGTCTATAGTCTAGTCTATAGTCTAGTCTATAGTCTAGTCTATAGTCTAGTCTATAGTCTAGTCTATAGTCTAGTCTATAGTCTAGTCTATAGTCTAGTCTATAGTCTAGTCTATAGTCTAGTCTATAGTCTAGTCTATAGTCTAGTCTATAGTCTAGTCCTATAGTGCTAGTCTATAGTCTAGTCTATAGTCTAGTCTATAGTCTAGTCTATAGTCTAGTCTATAGTCTAGTCTATAGTCTATGAGTCTAGTCTATAGTCTAGTCTATAGTCTAGTCTATAGTCTTCTATAGTCTAGTCTATAGTCTAGTCTATAGTCTAGTCTATAGTCTTGTAGCAACTACTACTTCACTATAAAAACACTTGTTTAAAAATATAATTTTAAATTATATATCATTGATTTTATGAATAGACTTTGTAGAAAATAGAAAAAATAAAAAAATATTTTTAGTTGTATTTAAAATAAAGAATTGAAAAAAACGATTTTTTTATAATTGGTGACCCCGAGTTCTCCGCGCATAGTATTTAAATTTAAATTCAGGAAATAAATTTACAGATGCCAAGGCAAGCAACTCAAGAAACTGCTTCAGAATCTGTCGCACCTACAACTACATCCACAGTAAATCTTCGCATACCACGATTTTGGAAAGAAATCCAGCCATTTGGTTTGCTCAGTTGGAGGCTCAATTTGAAAACCATAACGTGGTTAACGAAAGCTCCAAATATTTGCTGTTCTGCCGGAATTAGAGCCTGAAGTGCTTTCTCAAGTAACTGATATTATCCTGCAACAACCAAGAGATGCGTACTCAAAGATAAAACAACGGCTTATTGACCATTTTTCCATTTCCGAAGAGAAGCGTATAAAAACACTTCTAAACGAACTACCAATTGGAGATAAGAAGCCAAGTTTTCTTCTCCGTGAAATGCGTAATCTTGCCAACGATGGTGTAAAAGATGAATTTCTCCGCACTATGTGGATTCAACGCTTACCTACCCAAGCTCAAGCAATTTTGGCCACTTCATCTGAACCCTTAGATATTTTGGCTGTCATGGCCGATAAAAATAGTTGATATTTCAAGCTCCTCATCCAGTATTGCTGCAGTCCAAAGTTCCAATGAAATAAGTGAGTTACGCCAACAAATTTCCGCCCTTACAAATGCAGTCAAGGATCTCCAAATTCCTAAAAATCGCCGTTCACGTTCTAAATCCCACAGTAGATCAAGAAAACCTCGCAACTCATCACAACAGATATGTTATTATCATCGTAAGTTTGGTGACAACGCCCGCTGTTGCCGTCAACCCTGTTCCTACTCTACCAGGAATTCGGAAACTCCAAGGCGGTCACTAAACACAACTAGTGACCGAAGCCAAGCAACAAACCGTCTATTTATTTTCGACCCTCAAATTCAGAAAAGTTTTTTGATTGACACAGGAGCTGACATTTCAGTCTTACCTTTGTCAAATCAAAATTATAAGAAAAGTCCTGAAAACTATAAACTGTTCGCCGCTAATGGAACACCTATAAACACATATGGTGACGCTATACTATCCCCAACACTTGGTCTAAGAAGAAGTTTCACCTGGAAGTTTATTGTAGCTGATGTTAACCATCCCATTATTGGAGCAGATTTCTTACAACATTATGGTTTGCTGGTGGACCTCAAAACTAAAAAGTTAATTGACAACTCCACAGGACTAAATTCATCATTTTTCATTAAAAAGACTAGTCATTTAGAAATAAAAACCCTTAACAATAATATTCCATACCATGAATTAATTGCTCGTTTTCCAGATATTACAAATCCGTCAACAACTGCCAAACGAAAACACAATGTGCAACATATAATAGAGACAAAAGGTCAACCTGTAACATCGAAGGCTCGACGTCTTTCACCTGAACAATTCGAAATCGCTAAACGTGAATTTGAATTTATGATGAATCAAGGTATATGTTGCCCATCCAAAAGCAATTGGTCCAGTCCACTTCACATGGTCCCTAAAAAGAATGGCCAGTGGCGGCCATGTGGAGATTATAGACGATTGAATTCCATAACGGTTCCTGACAAATACCCGCTACCTCATATCCACGATTTCGGATTTGGATTGAGTGGTAAGAAAATTTTTTCTACGATCGATTTAGTACGTGCGTACAATCAAATCCCTGTGGCGCCAGAAGATATTCCAAAAACAGCCATTATAACACCATTTGGACTCTTTGAATTTCATTACATGACTTTCGGGTTATGTAATGCTGGCCAAACCTTTCAAAGATTCATACATGAAGTTTTGCGGGGCCTTGACTTTTGCTTCAGCTATCTAGACGATGTCCTGATTGCATCCAAGTCTGAAGAGGAACACTATAATCATCTTCAATTAGTATTTCAACGGTTCAACGAATACGGAATAGTGATTAATCTGTCAAAATGTCACTTTGGTCAAACAGAAATTCAGTTCCTCGGTCATATGGTCAACAAAGATGGTATTTATCCACTACCTGACAAAGTATCTGCAATTACAAATTACCCGAAGCCATCTACTGTAAAAGAAGTTCGTCGTTTTGTTGCAATGATAAACTTTTATCGCAGATTTATTCATCATGCTGCTGAAACTCAAATACCGCTTCTCGAATATCAAAAAGGCAACAAGAAAAAATGACAAAACTCCTATAGTGTGGACTCCAGAAGCTGAACACGCTTTTAACAAATGTAAAACAGATTTAGCCAACGCTACACTCCTTGCCCATCCAATGGATAACAAACCAATTTGTGTAATGGTCGACGCTTCCGACCATGCTATAGGTGGAGTTTTGCAACAACAATCTGAAGCTGGCTGGGTTCCTCTTAGTTTTTTTTCAAGAAAGCTTACAGAAACCCAAAAGAAGTACAGCACCTACGATAGAGAACTTTTGGCCATCTACACCCGTAGTTAAATATTTTCGGTACATGCTCGAAGGCCGTCAGTTCATCATATTCACAGATCACAAGCCCTTAACTTTTGCTTTTAGGCAAAATCCAGAAAAAGGCTTCACCTCGCCAGTTTCGTCAACTTGATTTTATATCACAGTTTTCAACTGACATACGTCATATCAGCGGACATGCAAACACAATTGCAGATACACTTTCGCGTATAGCTATGATTGATGTTCCTACATCTATAGATTTCGAAGAATTAAGTAAATCTCAAGAAGATGATGCAGAACTCCAGTCGCTTCTAAATGATAACTCAACTTCGCTTATTTTAAAGTCCATAGTAATTCAACATGATAAGCCGCCAATTATTTGTGATATCTCAAACAAATAAAGCAAGACCCTTTGTGCCGTCAAATTTTCGCAAAATTGTATTCAATTCACTTCATGGCTTGTCACACGGTGGCATTAAAGTAACAACAAAACTAATCCAAGATCGTTTTGTATGGACAACATGAAGAAAGACATACACAAATGGACCCAAGAATGTATTCAATGCCAGCGTTCTAAAGTAACTCGACACACACATAGTCAAGTTGGTACGTATCCTATAACTTCCGAACGTTTTTCCCATATCAATATAGATTGGTTGGTCCATTTGCCGCCTGACAATGGTTATAAGTACCTATTAACCTGCATCGACAGATTTAGTCGATGGCCTGAGGCTATTCCGTTAGAGGATATGACAGCACGAAAGGTTGCCGAAGCATTATACAATGGTTGGATATCACGCTTTGGTGTCCCATCATTTATAACTACCGATCAAGGTCGTCAGTTCGAGTCCAGTCTTTTTAAGGAACTCGCACTTGTTCTTGGTTGCAAAAGAATAAGAACAACAGCTTATCATCCATCATCAAATGGAATAATTGAACGATGGCACCGTTCCCTAAAAGCTTCTCTAATGTGCCATAATAACAAAAACTGGTTAGAAGTACTTCCAACTGTACTTATTGGTCTTCGTTCAAGTATCAGAGAAGATATAAAAGCAACGCCTGCAGAAATAGTGTATGGTACAACAATTCGTCTACCATGCGACCTACTTCAAAACTCTAAAGATTCATCGCCCAACGACGAATTTGTACAAAATCTCAAAGCACAAATGAACATGTTAAAACCAGTAGATATTAAACATAAATCAAATAAAACCGTATTTCTTCACAAGAATTTAGAAAGTTGTTCTCACGTTTTTGTTCGTACCGATGCTGTAAGGAAACCACTTCAACAACCATATGATGGTCCCTATAGAGTTCTGAAGAAAACTGACAAATTCTTTACGTTAGACGTCAATGGATCCAGCAAAGTGATATCTATAGATCGACTGAAACCGGCATTTATGTTCAATGATGAGATAATCGAAGAACCAAAATCAGTTACTATTCAATTGAAACGAATACCTTCAAATGTGAATCAAAAAATACCAGCTAAAAACAATTCAAGAATCCCTAAAAGAGTAAAATTTTCGAGAGTTAAATAACAAACTCTCTGGGGGGGAGTATATGTAGCAACTACTACTTCACTATAAAAACACTTGTTTAAAAAGAAAGGGAAAGGAGAGAGCAGGAGGGAGGAAGAGACGGGGGAGAAAAGAGAAAAAGAAAAAAAGAGGGGGAGGGGGAGGGAAAAGAAAGAAGGGAAAAAACGAGGGGGGAGACAGACATACAGACAGACAGACAGACAGACAGACAGACAGACAGACAGACAGACAGACAGACAGACATACAGACAGACAGACAGACAGACAGACAGACAGACAGACAGACAGACAACAGACATACATACAGACAGACAGACAGACAGACATACAGACAGACAGACAGACAGACAGACATACAGACAGACATACAGACAGACAGACATACATACAGACATACACATACATACATACAGACATACATACATACAGACATACATACATACATACATACATACTACATACATACATACACACATACAACACACATACATACATGCATACTATGTACATACATACATACATACATACATACATACATACATACATACATACATACATACATACATACATACATACATACATACATACATACATACATACATACATACATACATACATACATACATACATACATACATACATACATACATACATACATACATACATACATACATACATACATACATACAGCAAAAATGAAAAATTGCACCTTTTTGGTAGCGAATATTGACACCTGCAGAGTCCGTGTACCTTTAAAATGGAATATAACTTAGATGTTGTAAGTTCCTCGATTAATCGAGGAAAAATAGATATCAAAAATAGCTTGAGTGACTACTTTCAATTGCAATATCTTCTTATTTGGACCTTACTTTTGAAAACGGAGATGCCAGTAAATTCTACGGTCTAAAAAAAGTTTACGTGTTTCGGCGTTCTTCTGTGTCATTTTAAAAGTTAGAATTTTACTTACAGTGTAATTGTTAACTGATTTTTAAAAGCAAAGTTGCGTTTTACACAAAATAGATACAGTTTTGTAATATATTAATAAATAGTACGGGTTCTTATATAAAATAGTTTGTTAAAAGATTCGTAAACTTGGAAAACGGTGCAGAACTAAAAAAAAAATATGTTAGCTGCACACATACATATGTACATTAGGTAAGGTGTTAATGTTCCCAACTAAAATTATAGTTCAATTGATACCATTTCGCAAAATTTTTGGCGAGTAAGTACTTTTTGGTACTTTTTCGATCTACAAAAGGTACTTTTTGAATTTTCTATAATATTGAACCTATAAACATGGAATTTAGCATGTAGGTCCCGGATTAGGTGAGAACCTAGAAAAGGGGACTTTTTGGTAATTTTTCGTTTTACAAAAGGTATTTATGGAATTTTCTATAATATTAAACCTAGAAACATGAAATTAAGTATTTAGAACACATAAAAGGGGACTTTTTGAATTTTTTTTACAACGGGTATTTTTTGTAATAATTTTTTGTACTGACTATTCACACATCATGGTGTATACCCAAAAAATATTAATATTGGCATCATTAGAAAGGTCCTTGAGAGAAGCTTTAAATTCCATATTAGGAATTTTTGTGTAACAGCAAAAGTAATCGAAATTTTCCAATTTTTCCGGAAATTTTCAGATCTTTTACATTTTAATACAGATGAATTTAATATAATTCGTTGAAATTAATACGTAATAATTCTCAATAAAATCAGGGGAAACTTTTTTTTTTTTCGTTTTTCAAAATTCAATCTAGATCATTGGCGGCCAAACATGCCCCTGCGGACATTGTGTTATTCTCACTCATACACATGCAATACGAATGTTCTCAGCAACAAAACCAACTATACACAAAACAAAAACAATTTAAGATCAACTCTTTATGAAATGATACACAGAGGATATTTTCAAAAGCCGTAACAAATAAATGTTTGTATAAATACTTTTGATAGATAGCTTTATTATGTAAATAATTATTTACAATTATATTTGTATTGTCATTTATTCAAGCAATTAATCGCCAAAATTTTATCGATTAACGGTTAATCATTTGAACACTTATAGACGGACATACATACATACTTTTGTACATAAATACATCAACATATGCATTAATACATTCTTACATCAATATATGCATCAATACATCGTTTCGTCAATACATACATACATAATATGAATAACACAAATAAGTACAAACACATATTTTTTTTCCGTGCAACGCACACATATTTTCATTAATGTTCTCTTTCATATTTTACACTACAACATATGCATTTTAAAAATTCTCTTTCTGGCTACCAATGATCTAGATCAGTGATGTCCATAACTAAAACTGTAGTTGTATTGGTGAGCGAAAGAGAACTGCACTGAAAGAAAAATTGTGTATAACAAAAAAAAAATTTACGGACAAAATTAAAAATTGAAATTTATTTCATATATCATTAATGAAATTTTCTACATTAATGCTGTTATGACAGTTTCGTAGCAAAAGAATATTTTTTAAGTGTGCGGAATTTAATTTATTACGTTGTTTAGAACCAATGAATTTTAAGTCTGAAAAAATCTGTTCACGTAGATACGTTGAGGGAAAAAATGACAAACATTTTTGATAATTCTTTTTTAATTCTGGATATAATAAATCATCTAAATTTTGCCAAAATTCGGTGATATTAATTTTATTAAAGGTGAATTCACTACGAAGTATTATCAACTCCGCTTGGATTTCAAAATCATATTTGGTAACGTCACAATTAAAGGAATTAATGCAAAGATCAAGCAGGAGCTGTACTTATTTAAAATCTTGGAACCTCTCTTCAAAGTTGGAAAATAATGTTTCAAATATTATGTGGTATTCATGAATTTTAGATAGTTTTAAGTTTTTACCAATATTTAAATTATTAAAAAGAAGTAAAGTTTTTGGAAAGTTTGAAAAATCTTCAGCTTGAATTTCTGACGAAAGTAAAAATAATTTAGTTTTAAAAATAAAAAGTTTATTTGAAAGATCAAATGATTTTTTCTTTACCCCGTAATTGTATATTAAAATCATTGAGTAATGCTGTAGTGTCCGCTAAAAATGCCAGATCTAAAATAAAATCATTGTCACTTAAACGCTGTATTTCGGATTTGTCCATGTTTTCGGTCTCTATGAATTGAAGCACAGCATCTTTTAAATCATATAATCTATTAAGACATTCACCACGACTTAACCACCGAACCTCCGTAAACATTTTTAAATCGGGATGAGCTGCATTTTGTTTTTTAAAAAATTTACAAATTTCCGATGGGTCAGTGAATGATGCCCTCCTCGTATTTAATTTATTATTTTTTCTGAAGTCTTCATAGAGGGGTGGTCTGTTAAAAATTTGGAAGCAAGGGCGGTCTGGTGAGTAATACAATGCAAGGAATGGACGGAGATTCCTTTTTTTACTGTCCTATGAAACCTTCATACTTACCAGTCATTACGTTAGCACCATCCGTGCAAACCCTGCTAATTTTTAATATTTATTAAAGAAAAAAGTTTTTCATTTATAATATCAAATAACAGTTTTCCCGTTACATTTCCATGAAATGTTTCAAGAGAAAACATTGTTTCAAAAACGTTATTATTTGCATCTACGCATCTGACACAAATGATAAGTTGACACAAATCATTTATATCTGTGCTTTCATCTATGCAAAATGAAAAAAATTCACAGTTTTTTAATTTTTCAGTAATAGCGGACTCTACAAAAATTCCTAGTTGATCTGTTCGCCGAACTACGCTATTCCGAGATAACGGGAAGGACTTTATAAACTTTAAATTGTACTTCAATTTTTCAAAACATTTATATAAAATATTTTTAATAAATATTCCATCAGAAAATGGTCTACCATGTTTAACAATATCTAAACTTATAAGAGTTGACAACTCTTTTTTAAACTTTTATCATCTAAATTCTTTTCGTTGGCTTCCCTATCAGATAACCAATTCTTTAGTTTTTCCAAAAAAATAATTTTATATTTTAAAAATAATTTTTCTTTTTCCCTATCACTAAATCTATCCATATTACTATGAAAAGAATTATAATGTCTTTTTAAAACAAATCCCCTAATTTCCTTAAATGTTTTATAACATAATAGACATTGAGTATTGTCAAACGCATTTATAATCATAAATATTTTTCGCATGCCATATTAAATTATTTCAGTGCTGTAAACAAAAATATTGAAATAAAATCGTACACCCGCTACACATGTGCATTCGTCGCTGGCTCAGTGACGACTAAACAAAAGAGAATAAGAAT